TGAATCTAAATGGTCTTAGCCAAGCAGTTGATGACAGAATCTAAATCTGTCTGTGCAGGTTCAAAACCTGCTAAAGATGAAAATCTCAAGTGATCACCAGAGTCAAAATCTGTTTCTCTTGAACAGTGCAGGTTGAAACCTGCTAATGATAATATTTTTATTCTTATTCTATGAAGGCACACCTTGACATATGCTCATGGTTGGTCAGCTTGCAAGCTGATCAGAGCTGTATTTAGCCAAGTGGTTGTTGTATGTAACAGAATCCAAATCTGTTTCTATTGGAGCGCAAGGTTTGAAACCTGTAAACATCACATTTTTTTCTATAAGACATGCCTCAAATATTTGCTCATAGACGGTGTGTGCGAGGAATGATAGCTAGATGAGAAGGGGTGAAAGAGAAGAAAGGGTGAAGTGGGGTAAAAACTCAAATAGACCTCTGGATGCGAGTATAGATTTGGCCCAAGGGGATTGCTACTGAGAATGATTCCTCTAATGTAAAATATGAGGGGAAACCTAGAAACTGGTAGGGTAACTGAGAGTAGAGGGAATGCAAAAGTTAGCGCTGGTGTGATGTGAGCATGAGTGAGTTGCCAAAAGCGCGATATGATGCGCAGCCATGCGGCTGAAGATTTGACAAGTTCGAAAGCACTTGGTCAAGCCAAAAGGGTATTGTTGAAAAGCTTCAAGCACAAAATGAGGTGGCACAATGATAACAGAAAGGGATGTTGATGATAAACAGAAGGATGTTTGATGATAAAAAGGCAGTGTATGAATGCAAACATTAGTGCAGCCATTTAGAGATGCGGCAGCGCGGAGGTATGCTGAAGGTTTAGATTTTTTAGTCCTAGCATTATTGCATCAAATGGATGATAATTCGATGGGAGAGATAGATGTTGCATGAAAATCATAAGTATTTAGTATATATAGAGTGTGCCAAAGCCCTATTTGAGCCGAGTAGTGTAGGCGGTAATATTAACAAGGATTCATGCACAATAATGAAAATATACTTTGGAAATATGGTCAGTCTATACAAATCAAGTAAAATACGCACCAATGGACAAGCAGAGGACACAGATAGGACGGAGAAAGGACACACGATGGAGCTGAAGAAAAGCCGATGCGCATAATGATAACCAGAAATTTGAGGCCTTCTGATTCATTTTAAGATTCATGTGGGAAATGTGAAGGTGTGATTTCATAGAATAAAAATAAAAATAACAAATAAAAATGTTATTATTGGTAGGTTTCAAACCTGCACAGTTCAAGAGAAACAGATTTTGACTCTGGTGACAACTCGACTAAGACCAATGAAGATCAATGTTTGAGATGCTGTCTATGAGCAGATATTCAAGACATGTTCTGTTACAAAAAATGCATCACTCAACAGGTTTCAAACCTTAGACTTCAATGGAAACAGATTTTGAATCTATTGTGGCAATGACATGGCTAACATCAGTTGAGATGAGGTTTTGAGAAAATAACTCATGAGACAATTGTCAAGATGTGTTTTCATAGAAAATATATTTTATCATTGCCAGGTTTCAAACCCACACATTTCAAAAGAAACAGATTTTGACTCTCGTAAACACTTGACAATGTCATCTTTAGCAGGTTTTGAACCCATGCAAACAGATTTAGATTCCGTCATATCAACTGCTTGGCTAAGAACAGTGAGATGCACTTCCAATGGACCCATTGATAAGTGAATCCTCAAGGCAGTTCTTTCAATAGTATGATCACCACGATTAATTCTTAGGCCTGTTTATCTAGCAATTACTCTGAAAAATTGCTGATGGCAGACCACCACAGTGGGCTGGTGATGTTTGTGATGTCTTTTGGATTAACAACTGAGTCGTGAGTGACAACTGACAATGGAAGGATCACACATGATTGGACTCAAGGAGGATGTTAGAAATTAATGTTAGAACTGACAAAATGTACCTTGAGGATTCACTTCTGAATGGGCTCATTAGGAGTGCATCCAACTGGTCTTATAGCCAAGCAGTTAATATGACAGAATCCAAATCTGTTTGTGTGGGTTCAAAACCTGCTAAAGATACAATTGCAAGTGAACATCAGAGTCAAAATCTGTTTCTTTTGGACTGTGCAGGTTTGAAACCTGCCAATGATAACATTTTTATTTTATGAAATCTGACCTTAACATTGACTCATGTGTACTTTCACATTGTAGCTCGTGCTCCCAAACATCTGCTTTATATGATGTTTGTGGATGCACTTTTCTGTGTCCAAGAACATCTCTGGGCTCCACATCACCCTATCTTTGTAGGCTCATAGGATCCATATTTACAACTCACTTTCAGGCTCAGTTTATACAACACTACCCTCCTAATAGATTTTGACTCTGTTTCAATGTCTACTTGGCTAAGACCAGTGAGATGGAGCTCTCAGGAAAGTACGCATGAGTCAATGTCAAAGCATGATTTCATAGAATAAAATGTTATCATTGGCGGGTTTGAAACTCACAAAGTCCAAGAGAAACAGATTTTGACTCTGATGACAACTTGACCAAGACCAATGAAGATGAGTGTCTGAGATACTGTCTACAAGCAATTATTCAAGGAATGTTCTAATAGAAAAAAATAGCAACATTCAACAGGTTGCATTCCAATGAAAACAGATTTTGATTCTATTATGACAACCACTTTGCCAAATACAGCTTTGAGGAGCTTTTTAATAAGCAAACCGACCATAAGCATGTGTCAAGGTGTATTTTCATAGAAAGTGAAATATATATATATATCATTGATAGGTTTCAAACCCACACAGTCTAGGACAAACAGATTTTGACTCTAATAATCACTTTGCAACTTGATCTTTAGTAGGTTTTGAACCCACACAGACAGATTTAGATTCTGTTGTATCAACTGCTTGGCTACTCATTCAGAAGTGAATCCTCAAGGCACATTTTATCTACATTTTGTCAGTTCTTTCAATAGCATGGTCACTGTTGATTCTTTTATTCTGCTTTTTCTTCTAAAAAATTACCAGAGGCAAATGTAAGTATCTTTGATGCAAACTTGGAATGATAAGTACAAAAGCAATTTAATTCTCTCCAAAGGTCTTGACTTAGTTGAAGAAGAGAACACACATCTGTCAAGGCTGAGATTCAAAAGAGCCATCCGGCCATTATTCACTTATGTATAAGGTTGAAGTGTACTGTATTTGAGACCTTTCATCATCACGTTGCTCTCCTCTCACTTTTTGAAAGTGCTGTATTGCAGTCTGTATTCAATTCATCTGTTCAGCTGAGGGAAAACATTGTGAGTGACAGGGAACTGTAGACTTGTCTTGCAGATTCACTTCTGAACATTTTCTTTAAAGATGGATCTAACTGGTGCCAGTCAAACAGTTGCTATAACAGAATCCAAATCTGTTTCAAACCTATGTGTGTGTGGGATCAAAACCTGCTAAAGATGAAATTGCCAGTAATTATCAGAGTCAAAATATGTTTCTCTTGGAATGTGCAGGTTTAAAACCTGCCAATGATAAAATTCATTTTTTATAAAACCGCACCTTGACACATGCTCATGGTCGATTTGCAATCTGCTTACAAGCTCATCAGAGTTGTGTTTTAGCCAAGTGGTTGTCCTGACAGAATCAAAATCTGTTTCTATTGGAGTGCAACAGGTTTCAAACCTGTTGAGTGTCGCATTTTTTCCATAAGAACATGCCTTGAATATTTGCTCATGGACAGCACCTCAGACATTTATTTTCATTGGTCTTGGTCAAGTTGTCACCAGAGTCAAACTCTGTCTCTCTTAGACCATGCATGAGAGGAGGCTCATATCTGCTGGCTAATGTAGGTGAGGAATGTGAAGGGTAGGAAAATGGGTGGTGTGAGATATACTCAGAGGGTCCTCTGTGTGCGAGCTAATAGACTTGATATTTTGATGGAGGCATCAATTTATGAAATTATGAACATCTCTACTCATGTCATTATATATAGTAGCCACCAATAAAGTCTTTTGCTTAGTTATTCCATGATTATAGTGTGGAAACCGTGTCTTAAATACCACTGAAATCAAAATTACTATCAAAAAAATTAGGAAAAGGACCATTGGGTGGTTTCAGAATGCAGTTGAAAAGCTCATCAAGGCAGGCCAAAGCATATCAGCATAAAAAAAAAGGGACATTTGGCATAGTGTCAGAGGCATTGAATGGCACATTGCTTGAAGAGGACATAGTGGATGGGTCTGGTGCTGGTATATTACTTGAAGTGGGGGTGTTGGATGGTGTTGGCAACTGATCTTGGCTATCAGGCTGGACTTCTTCCTCATCACTAGACTCAATGATCTCTATACTCCTATGTGTTGTCTTCTTGCAATGCCCGGAGCAAGAATTGTCAGCTGCTCCACAGCGCTTCGAGTTGCCTTTATCAGACCGTGTCCATCGGCGATGATCAATAATATCATCTCATTTGAGTTTATCATCGTGTTCATGATGAAGCTGCTCAAACTCTTCATTGTCCAGTACTTTCCAGTATGTAGACTTGTTTCCCACTGTCATAAGAGCATTTCAAGATCTGGAAGGGTGCTGGGCACTTGATTGAGATTAGTGAAAGGACGCAGTCTGACCATCCTTCGATCGCAACCTGATAGTGTTGAACCACATTACAGAAATAACGGGCCCACTGCATCTTGGCATGAGGCTTGCTGGTCACTGTTTCTGTTGATACAATTAGTTACCAGTTAGATTATGCAGCATTGCAAAAAAAATAAAAACTTATGCAAACCACGGTTGATTACATCCTGGATTGAACCACAAACTTGAGAGATGCGCTGTTGATGATTTTTTGCAGCACCTAGTAAGCAAAAATTAAAATAAGATCCAAAGGTAGTATGCAACTCAGAGGGAAGGAAAATCACACCTCGCACTCCTTGGATGGCAAAGCCCTCCATTTTGCTAACCAAGTTCTGATTGTTGATGCCCATAACAGAACCCATAAAGTTTTGAACACCATCAGTAGTGAAGGTGATTCCTCAAAGAGGAAGATCAGTAGAGCCACGTGTCATGTACAACATGACTTCTGCACCAGTGCGACAATTAAGACTATTGAGCTAGTAGTAAGGCAACATCAGAAAACATTGCACTGCAAGTTGAGAAGGCACATACCTCATTTTCTATGGCCTTGAGGGTTTGAGTGATGTCATTGACCTTGGACTTGGTTGAGATGCAAGTACCAGTGGCCTTTTTTTGTTTCTTATCTGCATACTCCTTGAGAAGAGTTTCTTATTCTTGCTTTGAGAATACATGGTATTCAGCCACATTGTCATGGACTAGTGACTGGGAGTGCATCCTTTCCATGTCCACTGCCTGCAAATCAAAATGAATATTCAAACAAAAATGAGTAAACATCAACCTACTATTTTCCTTCTTCGCATCCTGAGATTTCTTTCAGCAAAATGTGTTCCAAGGGTTGGCCTTTGAACACTTCAAATGGAGCAATCCATGACCCATGTACAGGTCATTCTGCACACAGCGGATGCTCTTGTGGTGAGATGTGGCAATTGTCTTCATTGCATTATCAATTTGACTCCATGTTGCATTGAGGGTGTCTTTGAATTGACAAGATTTTTCATGCCACTGAAGCTTGAGTGCCATACAAGCTTCCTTGCTTAGAGTGACCTTAGGACAAATATGAGGGGGTGCCTGGATGTGCCTTGAGTGACTCTTGGTGTAGAAAGACTAGATGACCATCATTTATGAGACGATACAGTATCAGTGACTTTAAGCTCAAGTTCAGATATTTAAACAGACCAAGGATTTATTTATTTATCTTTTCAAACTCACAATGGAGACATCTGATATATGGTCCATGACTAAAAAATAGGGGATAGGATCTACACGTAAAAGAATAAAAGCCAAAACAAGTAAAGCGTGCATAAAAAGACAAGTGTATCAAGAAGCTTAAGAATGACTGTAAGCATAGAATTTTGCTGCTAGTAGTAGCAAGATTCAGTTTAGTATGATAGCGGCACTAAATTTTAATATCGCTCACTCTTACAACTTCTGGGCTTAGCTGCATGACATGAAGATCGGCAAAGAGAGCCATGGACAGGATGCATGCATGCTCATACAATAGATCTCATTTGGGAGACCTGAGCACTGCCTCCCATCAGCTGCTACAGGCAGTCTGAACTAAAAGATGGAGTTTGGGTAAATTTCCATCCTCCAACCTCAACTGATCAAGTGCAGCATTGGTATTAGGCCCAATACTAATGAGTGGCAGCCCATATAATCAGGATTCTTGCTCCAGCTTCAGTCCCAAAAATGGTGAGTCAGATTTAACATCTACATGCCTGTGTTGGCAAACTTGCATTTGCAGCATTGATGGGACAGATGGAACATTTTTCTTTCCAATGCTTGCACTGATGTCTGCAGTCTCACAAATAGCTGCAGATGGTGCAATGCACACTGCAGATGCCTGCAATTCACCTGAAAAGGCTTGAGTGAGGCTACCCTGTCATATTAATGCATTGTTTAATGATAGTTACAAGACACATGTAATGCATTAACTATTGTAACTATTAGTGCACTAGCCTTTAATTTAACTTTAATTTAACTTTTCACTTTCCAAGGCAGAATATAATCATAGCTAACCACTAACTAATCACTAACCAACCCTAACTAACACTAAAACACTACTAATTGCTAACTACTAACTTCTAACTATCTAACAAGCTGTCTAATATCTAACATCTAATTTCAAATTCTAACCAGAATTAACTGTTATCATTATGTAAATTAATGTAATGTATCATTTAGCTATTACCATAGTTAACACATTATTCCCATAGGGTGAGGTGTATGGGAGGCTGGACTTTAAAGTAGAGTTAGAGTTAACAGTTGTTAGCATTATCTGAGTAATCCAAGCTGTTCGGCTCACATTGTCATTGTGGTTTAATGTCTTCAACAAGACAGCATGTGTTGAAACGCTGAAGGTGTGGTATCATGAACTCCTGGGCAAACACCTGTACCCAGACTGCAATGTCTCCACCAATCCACTTGGATGATGATTCATGGAGTTCGTGAGGTGTAATGTAGATGTCAATAGGGAGCTGTTTGGGTGACGTAGTTACAGTTACTTCAGAGCCAGCACATCAAATGAGAACTGAATTTTCAGCATCCAGGCGGTCTTGTATAGTTAGCTAGACAAATGTTAGATTTAGCTACATAAAAATGCAGGTGACTAACTGCATCAAACACGTCCTGTAGTGCCACCTCAACCAGCACATCATGGCTGAGTGTCCTCTCATCTGTTCGTTTAGCAGTATCATTAAAGCCAATATATGATGATTGAAGGCCACCAAATTTCCTAGTCTGATAGTGAGTCCCATCAATGTGTGTGTCATGCCTCAACAAAGCTCTAGCAACTGCTTGGTGTTCATTGTTGCTAAAACCTTTTGCAAACATTGATGTGTGTAAAGCGGCAATGCCGGACATGGTGAAGCGGGCTGCTTGAGTTGCAGACAGCATGTTGGTGGATTTGGGTGGCTTTTCTTGTGATTTTGTGGGAGTCGACATCATGGAACCTGTGATGAGTTGGAGTCTGTGATTATGTACTAGTAGTATGGTCTAAGTCTGAAGTGTAGATAGTAAGCACTGGTATGAATTGTAAGAGATACTGCACACCTTGCGGGTCCCAACAGCAGTCTGTATGTATATCCATTGATGGGTCTTTCCATTCTTTTGGCACGATATCAGTGCATGAGCTGGGCGCAGGAGTGTTGAGTGGCGCAACTGTTTGGCAGCAATCAAATCAATGAAAGGTCGATCAATCACTTACAATGATAGCATGTGAACATTACAATGCGAGTCATTCTTAGTACAGCTGACCAGTCAGAAGTTCATTAATTTCCTTCAAACAAAAAATGCTGTGCTATCTTACATTCAACTGAGTCATTCATCCAGTGTTATGTATGCAAGTATATATCTATCCTACATCCAACTGAGTCATTATCTGTACATGAAAAGTGTTATGCAAGTATATATCTACATCCTTTTACATAAAGTGCATCTTCTTGGCCAAATTCGTGTGTTTGTCTTTAAAATTCTTCCTCCAGCATTAAGGTCAAAAGTGTCATTATGGCTAGAGATAGTAGCAGCATCAAAACCCATGCATATTGCAGGTTGAAATGGAATGTGCCATGCACACTAGTTTCACCATTTTGTGGTAGATCCTTTGGCTAAATTTGTGTGTTTGTCTGAAATCCTCCCTCCAGCATTAAGGTCAAAAGTGTCATCATGGCTAGAGATGGTAGCAGCATCGAAACCCATGCATATTGTGGGTTGAAATAGAATGCACCATGTGCACTAATTTTACCGTGTTGCAGTAGATCCTATTACATGTATAGTAGTTACTGACTCGCCACTTATCATTATAGTGAATCAAGTCAGTCAGTTATAGAATGTAAGAAATCCACCATGTCCTCTGTGACTGTGTTGCATTCTTCATCATCAAGAGCTTTGATGTCATTAAATTCTGACATGAAGATATCAATATTCTCTTGCTGCACTGTGGTGGGGATTAGCAATGAAATGTATGTGGTTAAGACAAAAACTCACCACCACCAGTGCCAACTTGTAACTCTCCCTCTGGATGGACATAGTAACCCTCACTGCTGGAGGCAGCATTCGTGAGGTGGGTGCCAATACCTCTAATGCCAGAGAAACCAAAAAGGTTTTCAATCTGATCTAGGTGATATAGGTGAATGACATTGATAGCCGCCTGTGAACGCCACTGAGATTTCAGCTCAGCAGCAAGCAATGGGTCGGAAATGAGAAGATTATTGATGACAAAGGGGGTCTTGGCGGTTTCATCATGGATAGCAGTACAGAGGTGACAAACTTCCATATTGAGTCATGTGATTTCTTCATGAGCTCAACAAAGTTTGAAATACTTGGTAGTTGCCTCATGATGAGCTGGCTTTGCCCAATCATAGCTTCAGATGTTAGTGTGGGAGTTGTGCAACAGGTCAAACTCGCTGAGGGAGCTATATTCAACAATATCCTTCCATGCAATCTTCAGTCTTGGTGGAGTCAGGGCTTCAGCCTGAATGTTGTAGTAATTAATGGTGTTGCGAATAATGTCCAAGCACTGCTGTAAAGCCTTGCTAATTTGTTGACGTAGTTTATACCCTTGGAAAAAATTAGAAATTAGTGATGTGAGTGCGCGAACAAAGAGAAAGTCAAAACCTGTGCCCGACAATGAGAGCTTCGAAAGCTCAAACAATCTCATGACCACCAGATGTTCCAGTTCATCCAATGCAGCACAATATTTGCCTTGTGTTGCTTCCTCCTTGAAACGGCTGTATTCCTTACCACCAATAACCCATCTTTCATCCACAGATAAGAGCATTTCACAATGCGCTACTAGTGCTTCTGCATTCTGTAGTTTAAATTGTGTTCTCAGGTACGGTCAATAGGGAATCTATCAACTCAACATAAACAGACAAACTAGGATAAAGGTTTTGTACATACATTGTGAAGGAAACACAGAGTCTTGCACTGTGCTTGAATGCTAAAGCGGGGACATGTTCGGTGAGACTGACAGTAAGCAGCAAGTGTATGAAGCAATATTGCGACAGCAGGATACATGGGGGAACACCCAATGTACCCATAGTAGATTAATGTTTCATTGGGATACTGATGCGAGGGCAACAGTTGTAAACATGAGCGACGTCTTCCTGAAAATGAAATTAATCAAGGCATACAGCATGCGAGAACACTCACTAAAAATATTGATGAGTTCAAGGTTATTGAGGGAAAGTGAGCCACTTCCATCTGATGGTGGCATATGCGGCATATCTTCAGTTGTCAGCATGTCATCCCTGGAGTTTTGAGAACAGTAGCTTAGGTAGGCATCAATGAGACGCTCTATTTGAAGATCCTAATGAGCTGTTTGAGTTTCAACACATTCATGATGGGTATGAGAGTCAATGTAGCAGCTGATGTATACATTCAGCATGGCAAAGTAGTAGCAGAAACAAGCAGACACATACTATCCAGTGAGATCAGCCATCTAATGAGCGAGCCCTTCAAATGCATCATGCTCCCCACCTGTATGACTGAGATCAAATGCTTCATCTCCTGGCGGGGCTATATAAGGGACTACATCTACATCCATTTCATGATCCGCCATCATGCTCTCAACCATGCTTCATTCCTTGGCTGACATTTCTGGTAAAAATTTACTGTTAGAGGAGTATAATGACAAGAAGATTCAACTTACCTTGAATATCAGCTTGGTGACTGGAATCTACAGCAGTCATGCACTGGTGTTGCTTGCCTGAAGTCAGGACTTGCAATTGGCAATGGTCCCTTCAAAAACCATGTGAGATGGTTGATTTGGAAAGCCCTGTGAGTCTAATGAAGCCTGAGGCATGAGTCATTAGTGCATTCTTGCCACCACAAGGGTTGACAGTTGTGAGGGTAAGGATGATAGTGTGGTTGATGTTGAGGCCTGCCACAAGCATTGAGCACAGAAACAATGTGGTAGTAGAGTGATAGAGATACTTACCGGCAGCCAGCACAACCATACAAAACACAGTGCTCTTGCCAGGAATGACAGCAATGATGAGCTGGGAGGAGAGATCAAGAGGTGTGGGAAGCACTGCAAGAAACACACTGCTCTTGCTGGAAACGACAGTGATGATGAGCAGGAAGGAGAAAACAAGAGGAGAATGTGGAAGCACTATAAGAAAAACAACACTCCTGCTGGGAACAATGATGACAATGAGCAGGGAGAGATCAAGGGGTGTGGGAAGCATGCCTATGTTTGACAATTGCTGAATAGTGTCCGTGGGCCATAGTGAGATACATAGATGGAATATTATCGAGATATAAAGGTCAGAGCTGGGGTAGTATTTAATTCTGGTGTTAAGATTTAGCACATTTAAGCCTAATAATACTTGGCGAGGCATGTAACTACCAAGTATAATTAGGCTTCTTTATCAGGCAACCCAAACAGCTGTGACTGTCACAAAAAATCGTCAAGCTACAGTATATATCCCAATAATGCATATGGTCTGGAGCCTGAAAATGCCATGCATTACCATGGATATGCACGATGCTGGATGTCACACACTGCAACACCGTGTAACCTTGTTATAACCACAGTAGATAGTACACCAATTACTTAGTAAAATATTAATCTAATGACACCTGCTTTGTATTCTGTAGCTCCTCCTGTCACAACTGACCACAATAACTACAGAGTTGCTCAAAGGCTAACCGAGGATTACCATATTGTAAGCAGGTGGTCTCAATTGGCTGACATAATGCGCTCAATTCTATGTTGTTGCCATCATTGTTGTCATCAGATTCAATCTCAATAGGCTTAGCAGTTTCCTGAGTAGGTTTATTGACAACTTTGCTCGGATTGAGACATTGTAAAGACTTTTGTGATATCTTATCTAGCATATTTTGCTGCTTATATTCACACATAGAACAATGCAGCCCCCATTAATAGTACCCAGACAATGCATATTACCCTCAAAAGTTCATGCATTATTCAGTATGAAGTTTTTAGTGCATAATGGCTGCATCCATGATGGGACCCTGTCAAAGTTGATGCATTATCTAGGATATGCATAACTGGGATGTGCATTATTGGGATATGTACTATAGCTACAGTGTGACAAACCTAAGGTTGAAATTATACAGTATAAGGGGAAATCAGACATCACCCAACTTATAAGGTGAATACTGTCATATCATGATTGGTGGTTTTTAGTGATGACCTTGCCTGGTTTTTGCTGAAAGGAATGTCTTGATAGATGCCAAACTCACGTTCGTCAACAAGTCATCAGCAAACTAGGGGGTCGTTGTACAAGATTATACAAGCTTGTACAAACATCACAAATCTACAACAAAGTCCCCTCTTTACAAGCTTGTAACAGAGGGTTACAATCTGTACATATAGGCACAGTGTGGACACACTGGACAGATAGGACAGGTTGGACAATGTAGACAGACCTAGACAAGCTAAACAGTGTTGACAAATGAGAGACAATTGGATAGACCGCACAACAATAATGCAATTCAGAAGACTATTACTAAAGCACTATATAATGATGTTGACATCCTCTTCAGCTGAGCCACTGTCTGAACCATTGCAAACTCCACTCATCATCCTAAACTCAGCCCATTCCTCCAACATCTCTTCCAGCTCTCGACAATGCTCAGGAATATCTATCAATGTATCAATAGATTTTTGTAGGGAGTTGAAATCAGATCTGCATTTATCAGCAGAGAGATCTGGGACTTTGTCTGTACCGGTTTTACAGAAACCACTCAGAACGCCCTTCACCTGTGGAGATTGATCAGCAGTGGGAATAAATGAATTAAAATAATCATACAACTGCAGCTATGAGAATGAGGCCATTGACAGGAATTGAGCATTGAAATTCCTCCATCAACTTCAATGCTTTTTTGCCGTTGCCATAGTAAAAATCTAGACATCCATCTTTAAGAACCTGTGATACGAAGTTCTTGTACCTGCCCTAAAAAAATCAATACAGTAAGTTGCCGCCCCACAGTCATCACCAACCTTGGACGAGTCAGGAAGCCGAAGGTAGTCACCAGACTTGATCAGGATAGACGCTGCTTCAGTAATATGTTTCTGCACCACCGAGTCCCCGTGTGTCGCACCGCTTCTCAGGAAGATGTTGTATAGTTGTTTCACAATAGAGATGATAACTTTCTTGAGTTCCATCTGGAATATAAACAAGTCATTACAGAGCTGATGACTTGTCAGCTAGTACATCCAGACAGTACCTGAACTCACCAAGCATGACATCTGATCACGATATTCTGGGAAATATCCTAGGGACATTAGATTGCGATAACCTCTGGTAGTATGGAAGGACTTACCATTCTCCAGCTGTTACAGGGATCTGTAACACCTACTAGAGCCCCAGCTCTCCCTACACCTGCCCCCGCTCTGCTAGACTCCCCGCGCGGCGGTGCGCCGCCTGCGCCTAGAAAGACAGCGGTCTGGACCGCTATGACCCCGCCTGGCGCTATGACCCCGCCCCTGGCCTAGACGGCCTTGTACCTGTTCCATGGAGGCTGTACGCCTCATGGACACCCTAGATCAGCGCATGCATACCACATGTCGCTTCATGAAGATCCGGAGCGCCCTAGGCGCCTCATGTATGAAGACCCGGAGCGCTTGGCGCTTCCTGTACCTATGCGCAGCTGCACTTGGCGCTGCATGTATGATCAGAGGTTAAGCCTCATGTATAACTATCTCACCTCATGTCTGGTTATCTTAGATTACCGATATACTATAGATTACAGACTGAGCTTGAACACCTACATACACTATGTATAAGTAGGCACATTGTTGTAGATTATACTTCACTTTAATCTACTAGGTTCTACCAAGAACTTGCTCATCTAAGCTTAACTGCTTCCTTGTGTGAGACCGCACTTCAGAGTCGCTCCCATACGCCTCTGCACGTATCCGCTAGCCCTGCATCTCGACGAGCGCCGTCTTACCGAGATCGCCGGAGGAATCCTTGACGTTCCGTCAAGGCTAGACCACGCTCAGCTTCAGTAGAGTCACTCGACTCGTCGCTGAGAAGACTCATCCTAGTTCCCACTACGCCGACCTATAGTCGACGTAACACCAGCCTAATCTTCTTTGAGTGGTATTTCCATAACTCTGCATCCAGGACTTCTCATGTGAGTCCTACCATGTCACAATGCTCTGAAATTTGGTGCGTTAGTACAGCCTGCAGGTGCATTTCCAACTTTGCCGCCTGAAGAAACATCTGCCAACAGGTTGGGTAAAATTCAAGCTTCAAGGGGTTTGCTTGTTTGCTTGCCCTTTCTATTTGGTGCTTGGGCTGGTCACCCTCGTCATGCGTAAGACTATGAGATCGAGAATGGCCTGAAGTAGGAGAAGGAGAAGGCACATGATCTGACTGAGCAACATGGCTAGATGGAGCCTTTGACAAGGAGTGCCCACAAGATGGGGGCTGCGTGCGACTGGTGGAAGTATGAAAAATGCTTGAACGTAGAGATTTAGAGCCACTGACAAGGGTTGATTGAGTTGGGGAGCACTGATGAGGAGACAGTCCATGGGTGGAAGCACAAGAAATGTTTGGATGCAGAGACTTGGAGCAAGTAGCAGAAGAACCCTGACTTGGAGGTCTTTGAGCAGAACATTTTGTAGACAGTGCATTTTGAGCCACGCGTGGAGGTTTTACATGAGTGGATGGAGCACGGGTACTCTCAATAGATCGGTGATGAGACACCTAGTTGGAGGAGATTAGAAACATGCTTTGGTAAAAATGAGAACTTACACATTTGTTTGTGTATTGATGGGGAGACTTTGAGTGAGAACATGGATGTGAGTGCCTGTGAGAGGACTAGGGCAAGTCAATGTTTGCAAGTTCAAGTGTGAAAAAAGTTACACTTAATAGACAGCTTGGTGAAGGAGCCTTGTGCCATCCATTTTTCACCTGGTGCTGCTCAAGGACATCAAAAATGCCTGGATCAATACATTTGTTGTCTGCTTGGGAATCCTTGCCTTGGTCTTGGTCTGATTCCATCAGATCATCATCATCATAACAACTCATTTGCAGATTCTGCCTTGAATATTGTTCACCATGTTTATCTTGTTTATGGTCTTGTTGTTCATATTTGTCCTGATCGTTGTCCTGCTTGTTGTCCTGCTCATCTTCTTGTTTGTCGTCATATTTGCCATGTTTGCCATCTAGTTCGTCTTGTTCGTCTTGTTCATGTTGCTGGTAGCTGTCATCAGGATTTCCAAAAAGATCTTCATCGTCTTGCATGTCATTGTCGTAAGCATTGTACTCGAGCTTGTCACGATCAGGTGAGTCTTGCTCTGTCTCTCTAGTCTTATTCTGGCTGCAACCAGGTCAGGTTAGGTCCCGACTGTCAGTAGCAAATGGCAGCTTGAACCCAAACCTATCAGAATAGTGTGCAGTGTGGAGGAATGGACGTGGAGAGCGAGCATGTTGGCGTTCTGGCTGTACAGCTTTGGCCTTTGCAGGAGCCTGCAATAATGTTCATTGTTAGCTGAGTAGCTCAAATAGAACACTTACTTTTTTCTTTGCTCTTGCGACTTGTGAAGGAGCCATTGGATTTTGTTCTGAATCACTCATTTCAATAGTGCCCTTCCTTTGTCTTGTTGGGGCCATCACCATCTCACCAGCTTTTGCAGCTGGGCTATGTGACCTCCAACACCTTGATTTAATTGTACACTCCATCGAGAGGGCTCAGCATCCTTCCTGGAATCGTTTTCCAGAGAAATATGTCTGGCTTTCTTCCTGGGAGGCATTGAAATTGATGGTGGAGGTTGGCTCACACGCATATTTTGGAATATTCACAAGCATGATATAGCAAATCCTGATTATGTAATAAAACGATTTGAGCTGAGTATGAATGCAAAGTTTTCTGCGTATGAGTAGATTTAAGTACAGACGTTGAACTGATAGTTGCCAGGACTTGATCAGCTTCAATGATGTTCCTGTCAGTATTTGTGCAATTGCACTGGATACAATACTGTCTCGTTGATTTGCAATAGAGATGATAACTTTCTTGAGTTCTGTGAGAAGTGGATAACCCATCACAAGGCTTACACATCAGTATGTGGAAACATGCTTCTTCTTCTGCCTAGAACGACAAGGGCGATCACTCGAAGCAGTCTGAGGCAGAGAGGGTGGGGGGGAGGTGCAAACAATGTCAAAGAAATAGATGGCACCAATGAATGTGCAGAGGGTGTTATCTGGCTGGAATGGCAAGGCTGCGGACCCAGGACCATGGCTGAAGAAGCTGAGGATCCTAATAGACTGGTAGATGGCATCAGCAGTGTAATCTGAGGACTCGAAAAGTTGCCATTGTTATTCAGCCCCCGTTGTATGATCTCACAAATTTTGTCGTGAGAGACGTCATTTTGGTTCCTTATCGCATCACCAATTGCTATGTGCCAGTCCTCAAGGATGGGACGGCAAGCTCAGAAATATGGTGCAGGCTCGTAATGTGGAGCTGTGTCCATCAGAAATTCTTTCTTGAGGGATCCACTAGTCCTGAGACCATCTTTGTCCATCGCAATGTAGGCCTTATGCCATCTACAGGAGTTCTCAGGGGGCACCCCCCTGTTTGTGATTAGGCCACCAGGTCCATCATATATGATTGTAAATTCAAGGAGAATATAGAAGAGTGACTCAAGGTCATCGGAGGCCTTGTGTTCGATTGAGTCAGGAATTGGAGTGCTTCCCATCAGCTTGAGAAGGCGGTAGGATATGTATGGTATTGTTCCCTTTGAACAATAAGATCAAGAAGAATACAGAATATATCAATTTCAAACTTACTGTTCCACATGAATCCTTTGTTTGATTGATAAATTGAATGAATTTGGCATGGTCGAAGTCGATAAAGTAGCATTTTCCCTCGAATATGATGAGGTTGTTGGGACTGAGATCTCCATGAAGAACCTTCTGCTGTGTCGTCATTGTTTTGTGGGCTACCAGTATTTTTCAGCACCAGAAATTTAGGTGACCACCAGGGGAACTCACCAACAACAAGGTCATGAAAAACATTGACCAGCTCCAGTATAGACTTGAAGTTGGTTAGCGGGAGTCCGCAGGGAGTCAAAAGCATGCAACAGTGAATCTGGGAGGTGATTGCAGACATGGTCACGAATGTGTGATGTGCTGTCGACATGTCCATCATACTTTACATCCCAATGTTTCCTTAGCCGGACCACATTTGGAACACCATCGACAGCTCAGAGAAAATTGACCTCTTGCTCTAGTTTGTCCTCATCTACCCAACAGTCCTTCAATGCATACTCCTGTCCATCCTTGTCCTGGACATGATAACAAATGGTTCCACATGAAAAAAGACCACGACTTTTCCACAGAATAGCCATAATCCAATACACCTCGCCTTCATCACCTATAACCCAACCCGCCGCTTCGGCTGGCATGGAATCAAACCTCCCTGGTAAATTAGCATGAGCAGTGATGGAGCAGAGGGTGTGTTAAGAATGTGCTCAATGGTTCGGATCCGAAGGGCTTGGCTTCAGCTCGTGCGCTGTGCCCCTTACCCAAGTACATGCCCCTAACTTCTGAGGGCTAATGGACGACATCCGGAGTCTGGAGTCTAATGTGTGGGAATTCTGGTGGACGTTCGGGAACAAGTGATAAGACTAATCTGGACGATTTCCGAACTAGAAGAAAACAGCAGAGGACTACCTAAGGTAGAGGCGGAGGTGGTCAGTCTATAGGAGTCGATCCTAAGACTGTTGGAGACGACAAGAAGAGACTTCAAGTCGGATGGAGGAGGGAATGAGCAGAGTCTAAGATAATATTTGAACTGAAGAACTACAAGGATTATACAGGGTTTATATACTACTGAGGACATAACGGAGAAACAGCCAGTGCAGTGCGAGGCTATGCGAGGCTATGGACAGAGCATGTGGGACGACTATCACTAGTCTATCAGAACTTAGTAAAATGAAGACAGAAATGAATAAGGGATGGAAAATAAAGCATACTAACTGATAAGGGAAATACTAAAGGGAAAAGGCACGGAAGATAGGAGCTGACCAGATCCGGAAGTCCGGAAGTCCAGAGATGATTGTGTGATTGGTCCGGGTCTGGAATGCGGGATATGACAGTATCCCCCCTTTAAGGCCGAGCCCATGAGGCTTCTGATTCAGAAGTCCGGTCCGGACTTTGATGAATGCGAGATGATGGGCAGAGCTTGTAAAAATAGATCTGGACATATAAGAAGGCCAGGGTGCCCATGAGATGTTTAAAACTTTCCCTCTAAATCCTATTACTGCTATATCATGTCTAACTCCACTTCCGGCAACAAGAAGTCTGCCTGGCAGCTCCTTCAAGAGAGACAGGCCAAAATGGCACGACTTGAGGCGGACACTCGGAGAGAGACGGAGGAAGAGGAACGGAAGTGCAAGGAGGTGGAAGAGGAGCGGAAACATATGGAGGAACAGAAGAGGAAGGATATTGAGGAGACACGCAAGAGGTTGGTAGAACATGAGCATGAGCATATGGCGAAGGCTATGGCGGATGCTGCGTCAGAGGTAAGTTACATGTAGTGTTTGTGATTTCCGGAAATTCATGATGTTAGTCCTCCGGTCCGGCGGATCCGGAGGTTGCATGCAAGATGTGCGTCCTTAGGCGCAAGACTTGCACCTGGGCAGTAGCGTCTAAGACACCTAGAGTGAGTTTCTGTTTTGTCCAGATCCGGATGTTTGTTGATTTCTCCGAAAGATCCGGACCTGTGATCAATGCCGCACATCCAAGGAAAAGTGCGTCAGCGGAAATCCACCTGTCAAAGCGCCGGCCAGCAAAGGCAAAGGCAAGAAATGTGCGCATCCGGAAGGATCTCCATCCCCCAAGGGCAAGGGTAAGAGATGTCAGCAGAGTCCGGAGGACATCGACGACAATGTGGAAATAGTTTCCAATCCCTGGACGGTCATCAGAGAAGATCAGGAATGGATGGAGTATGATGATCAGGCCTGGGTTGCAGCTGCCAACAATATTGTGGCGGAACTGACCCGGACCAACGGACTTTTGGAAAGAGGTGTTGTGGCGGTGGAGGGAAGTAGGGCTGCTATGGACCAGGTGAGTGAAACCATGCTCCGGTTCATGGAGGAGCAGAGGGAGTTCCAGAACCTCTTCTTAGAGGGTCTGAGGGGCGGATTCCGGTGAAGGTTCAACGATGCAGCAAGGCATGAACAATGCTCCTGACTGTATCTATAAATGTTGTAAGGTCGTGCGTTGCCTAGTCTGCTATACTTGAGACGACAAGTGCGTTTGACCCTAAAGGGGAAGCGAGTGCAGCAAGGATCTAGTAGTAGGCGCCGAAGGCGCTACTGGTTGGCGAATGCGAAGTGCGGGAATGCGTGCACGTGTATGCAGAAACAAGAGAGAGTAAGAGTGAGTTTGCTTAAGTGATGATTAGACACTAGACAAGAGGTGAGAGATGCAAGCTGAGAGATGTTATATGCGAGGTGCCAAGGAATAGATTTCAACTATGCTCTGCTGGGTAGTAAATGGGTATTGTTCTGGTTCAGTCCTCTGTCGTTTTGGTGGGTGAGTAAGTGAGTAATAGTATGTACTGCTGGCGCTTAAGTATGGCGCCTAAGCGCTGTCATGCGGAGCCGAAGTGCTACCGAGTAAGGTATGTAAAGATATATGTAAGTAAGGGTCCATGATAAAAATAAAGATGGAATGATATGCAAATGTGAGAAATGGAAATATATGCACTAGGGAACTTGGTGGACAGTGGATGGATGCTTCCGGATGGCTGGCGCTATAGGGCGCTCAAGCGCGGGAAAGCTCGCGCACATATACATCGTGAAGCGCAGGAAGTTGCGCGCACATTGCGCGATGCACGGGAAAGCTGCGCCTCATGTAGGAATAGCTGTAGGAAGCATACAGAGTGATGCTACAAGTTCGTGCTGTATACTCCTTGGTGAAAACTGCAATATTGCACAAGGAGAGGCATGAGTCTCTACACCGGATGAATGTGGAGGGAACTCCAGAGGAGGAAAATGCTGAGGGGGTGGACAAGGAGGCCGGCAGATCCGGCGGAGATATGGAAATGGACTCTTAGGTAGTCGGATCCGAAGTCCGGATGTCGGACACCTAAATAATGTACATATATGCATGTCATTTGTTACTCTTTGTTAGGATTTGGACCTGGCTTATCCGGATATGCTGAGTGGAAATACAATAGAAGTTCCGGCACATTTCCGAGTTTGGTTGCAAGTACCCAGGAAGTTTCTTCGTCAGTTCCCTTATATCCGGCCCAACATACTAAGTATAGTAGTTGGCAGTGACGTCTCTGGCGGTCGATCTTTGAGTCCAGGAATTCGGAGATCTCGTATTCTGGTTCTCTGTCGACTAATACCGGAGGCGGAGGAGGCTGAATGCGATTGGGAATGGTGTTCGGAGTTGCGGGTTCTAATTGAGAGACATGGAAGACGGGTTGCACGGATCGCATAGCGTCCGGAAGATGGATGGTGAAGGAGTGGGTACCGGGACGAGCGATGATGTCGAATGGACCAAGATTCTTTTCCGAAAGCTTTTTCGATGGTCTGGTCAAGCAGAAATATTTTGCTTTGACAAAGACCTGATCTCCAACTTTGAAGTCCGGAGCGGGTTTTCATCTAGCATCTGCGGGTCCTTGATATCGTCCTTGGGCATAGGACATCTCTTCCCGGAGGAATTGATGAAGCTCGTCTAGATCTATAGCATAATCCCAGGCGTGGGTGGAGGAGAGATCACGCTCCAGATACACGGAAATGTTCGGATGATAACCCTTATTGGAAAAGAATGGTGAGACTCTGGTGATAGCACTAGGAGCATTGTTATATGTGAATTCGGCCAAAGGTAACAGTTCCAACCAATTATCCTGCTGATAGTTGCAGTAGATCCAGAGGTATTGTTCTAGGGTTTGGTTAGCTCACTCTGTTTGTCCGTTGCCTTCTGGATGATATGCGGAAGTGAAGTGGAGGATCATGTCAAGTGCTTTTCCAAGCGACCAGAAGAAGTGAGAAACAAATTCCGTACTGCAATTGGAAGTGACATGGGACGGAACTCTGTGCTTGGAAAACACGTGGAGAAGGAATAACCAGGCGAGGTCCGGAGAGGTGATAGTGTCATAGGTTGGAATGAATATGGCTTGCTTGGATAGTCAATCTATGACTACCAGAATGGCAGTGAAGCCGGAAGAATCGGGGAGTTGCTCAATGAAGTCCATGGATATAGAATTCCACGGCTTCTCAGGGATGGGAAGTTGTTTCAACAATCTGTATGGTTTGTGTCTCGGAACTTTGGCTTGGGCGCAGGTTGTACAAGACTTGACATAGTCCTTGACATATGCGCAGATTCCGGGCCAAGTATATTCCCGACGGATGATTTCCAGAGTCCGGTTCTGACCAAAATGTCTGGATAGGGGATGGTCATGCGTATTCCGGAGTACTTGGAGACGGAGGTCATTGGATTCTGGAACGTATATACAGTTGTCACAACAGAGGAAACCACTCTCGTCCATTGTCCATCTCAGGTCCGATGGATCCGGAAGATGACTGGAAGTGATAGGGTCATTGGGGAGGGTGGACCGAATGTCCTTATGAAGTTGCTCGACATCCATCAGTACAGCCGCCTGGAGCACCAGAATTGCTAGGTGTGATGCCCAGAGGGACAAAGTGAGCTGTTCTGTGGTAAATATCGGCCAGAGGTTATGTGGATTAACTTGAGCGTAGTCCTTATCCCCCTCTTTGGGGTAGACATCCCAACGTCTAGTTAGGCAGTCAGGCTTTGCTCCAAGTTTTCCAGGTCAGAACCAGATAACGAGGTTAAACTGATGTAGGTATTCTGACCAGTGGGCCTGTTGGCGGGTGAGGAGTTTTGTGGTAGCAAAGTACTCAAGGTTTTTGTGGTCCATGACAACGTCTATGGGCTCGGCAGAGCCTTCAAGGTAGTGTCGCCAGGACCAGAAAGCTTCGTAGATGGCTAAAAGTTCCTTATCATGAGTGTCATAGTTGAGTTCTGGAGCCGAAAGGGTACAGGAGTAAAAAGCAACTGGGCGGAGCTCCTGGTCCAGACATACAATAGAAAGTATTCCGGCAATAGCATAATCAGAAGCATCCATCTCAA